CAAAGAGTGCTCATTATCCTGCAGGCTCCCTATTCTAGTCCTTAACATTTTTTTTTTAATTTTAAGTAGGCTCCGTAACATGGGGCTTGAACTCGACCCTGAGATCAAAAATGCATTCTCAGGAGCACCTGGATGGCTCAGTTGGTTGGCGTTCAGCTTCTGGCCAGGTCAGATCTGCAGTTCATGAATTTGAGCCCGCATCCCGACTCACTGCTTTCAGTGTGGAGCCCCACTTTGGACCCTGTGCCCTCCTCTCTCTCTGCTCCTCTACATTTCATGCTCTCTCCCTCTTTCTGTCTCTGTCTCCTCTCTCTCTCTCTCTCTCTCAAAAGTCAACATTTAAAAGAGAAGTTTGCCTTTCCAAGTCAGCCAGGCACAGCTGAACCACTATTTGAGAATCTAACAAACTATATATTCTGTCCTCAAAAAAAAAAGCATTTTGCAGGCATCCTGGAAATGATAACATTAACAATAGGAACTTGTCAGAGTGGGTCACAGGAGCTCAAGGATAAAACTAAATCTTCTTGAGGGCACCTGGGTGGCTCAGTCAGTTAAATGTCCGACTCAGGTCACAATCTCATGGTTCGTGGAGTTCAGACTACATTGGGCTCTGTGCTTGTTGTGACAACCTGGAGCCTGCCTGCAGTTCTGTGTCTCCCTCTCTCTCTCTGCCCCTCCCTGCTCTGTCTCTCAAAATGAATAAAAAAACGTAAAATTTTTTTTATAAAAAAATTAATCTTCTTGAGTAGAAATATGAACCTGGCTTCTTTTTTTTTTTTTTTTTTTAACTGTTTATTTTTGAGGAGAGAAGCACAAACAGAAGGTACACAGAAGGGACAGAGACAAAACAGGCTCTCTTTGTGACAGCAGAGAACCCCATGCAGGGCTGTGAACACACTAATGGAACCATGAGGTCATGACTTACAGGTCAAGTTGGACGGCTCAGCCAACTAAGCCAACCAGGCACCCTGAACCTGGCTTATTTCAACAATACTCTCTCCTGAAAGTAGAACTGTCAATATAAAAAGACTTAATATTTTCTTGATTGTTTAAAAATAAAAGCCACAAAGGTGATACAAAAGGAAACAATGTATCC